TGGTAGCTGCCGATCTTTCTATTTCTGCCATAGAGTACAGACATTTGGTACATATTGAGTGAGGGTATACAGTGTATATCTTTCAAAATCTAGCTCACTTCTCTTAACATTAAGTCCTCTATATTCATCCACTTTGAATCAAATGATAGGGTCTCATCGTTTCTTATGACTAATTAATATTTTATAATATAAACATGCCCTATTTTTTCAACCCAGTCACCAATTTTTGGACACATAGGTTGGTTCTGTGTCTTAGCAATTGTGGATAGTGCTGCAATAAACATGGATATACAAGAGTCTTTCTGACTATTTTTCTATCCTTTGGGTAAATATCAAGGAGAGGGATTACTGGGTCATCTGGTAGTTCTATTTGTAGGTTTTTGAGTAACTTCTATATTGTTTTATTTTGCTTCTTAACAAACTGTGTATCTAAACACAAATGTGTAAACACACACTGAAATAAGCCAGTAATTCCATTTGTTTGATTTTTTGCAGCAAAGGAGAAAGGAGAGAAGAAGTTGTTTGGCTTCTCTTTTGTCCCCCTGATGCAGGAAGATGGAAGGACTCTTCCAGATGGTACCCATGAGCTCATCGTGCATAAGGTAACATTGGCCAGGTGTTGGGGAAACACAGGACTGAATTATTAACTCACTGTCACATCACTTTGGAAAAGAAAAAAAAAAAGACTGAAAGAATACTCTTTTCTAAGTTCCTCGTAAAGAGAGTAAATTGAAAGTATTTTTTCTTTTGGCTCATCAGAAAAGTCATGCTGTATTTTTCTATGTTTTTCTATCTAAAAATGCATCATGACTTTTCAGACAACCCAATATATTCTGATTTTTTTTTCAAGTTGTAGGTATTTTTTTAGGTCATTTTTAGCGGTAGAAGTGTGGTAAGTCTCTATGTTGATTTTGAAGTCTTTTGCAATGTTGTGCTAGGATTAAATAAGTTTTTAATTATTACCAAAACATGCTTTCTCATCTTAATCTGTATACACCCAGAGGTAAATTCAGCAAGGTCATCTAGCAATGCATTCTTTTTTTTTTTTTTTTGGTCTGCTGCTCTTACTAAGCAAGCAGAGAAGTGGCTGTGCTTTGTTATGACAACTTGAAGAGTTCTTTTGACTCAAGAATTGTCATAAAAAACATTTTAAACAAATTATGCAGTAGGAGGCAAAAAAAAAGAAAACTTGTAAAGCAAGAACCCCACAGAAATTATCTGAGAACACTAGTTAATAATGAAGTATAAAATAAAAATGTATTTTTAACATACACAGGCAATTACCTCTGAAATACGTATTTCTCCTTTTCATTTCTCCCTTTCTATAGCCATGCGAAGTCCAGACTCTTGTTTGCTCTCACCTTTGCTCGCTGAGCCTGCCCAATTGGGTCTTATCTTCCTCAGATCGAGACCCACCCAGACAGTAGGGGAACCATCTATGGTTCAGATCCAAGGAGGTCACTTTCCTATTTAGTGCCATTCAAAAGCTTGTCAATGCTGACAGAATGAAGCCCAGGCCTCCACCTCCTACTGCTTTCCTTCCACCACTTCCTGCCTCTTCCTGCTCCAGCATGTGAGCTCTTGCTAGTTCCTTACCTCCAGCCAGCTGGTTCTCTTTGCCCTGCTCTGTCTTGCCCTTGGGACTCCTGGAGTCACTCCTGCCCTGCCTCTCTCCTGCTCATCCCAAGGCTCACTTTGGCCATACCCTTTTCAGAGACTGTCCCCTGCTCCCTATGTCCACTTCCCAGCTGGCCAGTGCCCTCCTTAGCTCCCTGGGTACCTGCACCCACCTTTTCATATTCTACTTAGCCCACTGTCCTAGAGTTATCTGACAGTGCCTCAACTTACCCCAGGAGATCTGCAAGTCCTTCTAGAACAACAACCGAGATTATTCAAATGAGTGAAGGTGATTACAGACAAAAACTTTCTTTGCTTTGGGTAACTGCTAATAGAATAAGTGATGATGAACAACATCTGGTAATTTCTGTTAAGTGTATGTGCATATTTCTTTAACCATTCACTTTCTCATTATTTATTCAACATGTTTGTTGACTGCAAACTACAGCCAGCCACTGTTATAGGTACTGGGAATAAAGCAGCAAACCAGTCAAATACCTCCTTTCCTGGCACTTACATTCTCTGTACTTCATAAAGTGTGCTAAAGGGTCAATATGGTTAAAATGCAAAGAAACATATTTGAAAGTAGAATAATGTGTAAAGCAAACAAGGAATTAAATGTTCTAGACACATGGAATGATTTATTTATCTTAGGTCTGAGGCTCCCTTACAAGACATACATAATGTAACAGACAATGTCTCCAGCTACAGCTTTCTAAAAGCACAACAATAGTACTTTGTATGAATGGCTGCATAACACCAAATCATGATTCAGAAAAGGCAGGCCTAAGAGAATTAAAATTGTGCTCTCAACTAATAACACATAGAGGAATGAATCACTTCTGTAATCACATGTGGACCTTCTGCCCTAAGGGTTGGTCGGAAGGTGAATCTTTAGCAGGTGCTAGGTTTTCAATCAACTCCAGGTTGATTTCTCCAAATGAGTGTGAATAATACCAATAACCTTGGTTACTGATTATAGAGACCCTTATGCTTAAAATGCCAGAGGACATAGCAGGGCTTGCTTCTCTGAGCATTTAGGAGTTTAGCTGATACTGACTTCTGGTGCCTGTTGTCAGGGCCAAAACTTTCCTCAAACACACATGGTTAAATCAGTCGAACCCTTATACAATTTTGACTTAGTACCTAGCATTCTAATCCCTGAAGGAAGATTTATTTGAGCTTAAACAGTTTGAAGGGCACGTGTCCCCATTGATCTTCCTTAACCACAGGATGCTTAGGATGGTGTCTATCAGATGGGGAGATCTACCTTGTATTGCCCAATCAGGAAACATTCGCTCCACAGAAAAATGCTTATGTAGTGAGTTTTCTTACAAATTAAGTAGAGTTAGTGTTGCTTATTTAGAGTATGAAATACTTGCCAAGTATTGTTTTGTTTTTAGCATGGTTGATATTGTATGTGTTTTAGTTTCTGTTTTCTTTTGTTTTCATAGTACTGAGCCAGCAAGTTCAATTTTAGCTTAAGGCCGCTTGGAGTTCATGATTAGAAAACCATATTACCAACATAATGCTTGCTTATTCTTCCTCTGCCAAGGCAGGAAGTCACATAGCCTATTGATAATTTCAACCTGAATTTATTATTTAAAAAGAAAAATGAGGGAAGATTGGACTTAAAAGCATTGGCTTAAAAAAAATCCTATTAAGTAGTGTTGAGATGACTATGTAGGTGTTGGGAATGAAGAACTGGATCTCTACCCTTCCACCTCATACCAAAACATGTTCCAGAGGAAATGTGAAAAATAATGCTGAGATAACTTGATTAGTCAGGATTGGAGAGGCTTTCCTTCCAGAGCCCCTTTTGCAGCTCTCAGGACATCAGTAATATCCCCAAGTGACTGATAGGTAAATCCAAAACCTTTTTTTGGAATTTCTAACTTTGCTAATAACAGTATTTGGTTTTTCAGTGTTGTTATTTCACTCCATTGTGCTAGGATTATTGTCTTCCTTAACTTTGGAGCGATATTTTTGACTACCCTTCTCCAGCTATCTGCTGGAAGAGGAAATTAAGAAAAGATTAAAGTGGAGCCAGGAGGTAGTGTAGTGATTATGATGCTAGACTCCCACGTGGTCAATTGCAGTTCGAGTCCTGGACCTCACAGCTTGAAATTTACACTGGGTGGATGTGTGTGCATGTCCAAAATGTCTATTTACTCTCCCATAATCAGTTTAGCCCCTAGGTCAGAATCTTGGCCTAACCAGTTCCCTGTCCTCTTGTTTTCTTGGTCACTTCAACTCCAGCAACTTTCATTTGCATTTTGCTTCACTATGGCTACTTCAGGTCTTTTTCATTCCTACGCAGCCGGATCTCCCGTGGGCCAAGAAATGTTTGGCAATTTACTAGGTAGATGGATAGGTGAGCAAGTGGATGAGTGAGTATATGGATGTATGGATAGGTAAAAATCATCTAGAACCACTTCATATATTTATTTATTATTTATTACATTCAGTCACTGCATATCATTACAATGTACCAAATGCATTTTCCCATTCTGAATACACTGTCTATTGGTTCAAAGATATTACCATACTTATTATCATCAACAGATAATTTTCCATTTTTATGTCCCTTGCATGTTTCGCTTCTCTTTCCCCTTGATTCCCTCCCTCTCAACCTCCCCAATTTCCCACCCTCCTTCCACACTGCCTCTAGATCCACAGTTGCACTCCGTATCAAACATCTTAAACTCCCAGTAACTTGAACACAACTTTTCAACTTTCTGACTTTTAACCATACCTATTTTTCAGTCTCTTGCTCTTCTGTTAGGCCCCTCCTGACTACTTTTTTCCCTTTTCTTATCCAGGATATCCATCGATTCTTAATTTCGCTGTGCCCACATGGGAAATAAAAACAAGTCCTGGATCAGTCTGTCAGCATCACCTTCTCCTGTTCCCTTCTGTAGGCAGTTGGCATTACTAGAGGATATATAGTGATAATAGATTAGGATCAGCCTGGTAGGTATAGATCCAGGGATATTAACACTGCAGACAAATAATCAGCTCCCCCCTCAGTCCCCAGCAGAGATATTTACAAAGTCTTACTATTCTCTCTACCCTACCGCTTCTATCTACTTGACAGAGAAGACAAAGCCATCAGACAGGATCTTCCTTAACTTCCCGTGCTCTATACTTGGTCACCTGTGGACATATCTGCATCCTTCCCTTCTTTCCTGCTTCCTCTCCCAGAGGACAGGGCAAGACTCCTTCTCTCCAAGGGAAAGCTTTCCACCTGTTTCCTCCAGGACCTTCCTGCCTCCTGACTCCTCTGACACCCTGCCCCTCTTATTGTCTCCTGAAGATTTTATCATTTCCTCTCTTCAGGCAATATTCAGTCAGATTATACAAAGGGATTTCAGAATGTGGAAAAATAGAGTTAAAATACTAATTTTTTTAGGTGCAAAAAATTTTATTTGAAATTGATGCATTTTTGTTTTATAATTAGATTTTCCATGAACTTTTTGAAGGTCCTACATAAACACTCTTAAATATTTTTTCTTTCAAAATCATTTGTATAAGTATCCACCACACGGGGCCAGCAGGTGCCATAGTGGCTAGGGTACTAGACTCCCATATGGCCAACCATAGTTAAAGTCTCAGACCTGGTAGCTTGAAACTCATGCTGGGCACATGTACATGCATGCCCAAAATCCCAGGAAGAGAATGAAGGAGACAAGATTGTGGTGTGACCATCCCCCCCAGGGGTGATTTATCACTATCTCTCTCTCTCTCTCCAGCAAGTGCATGTGCCCCATAGCAAAACCTAAAGAAAAATACAGGAGCTAAAGCCACTGGCCATTTATTTATTTTTTCACCCGATTTCTCTATAGCTTGTAACACTATCAACCACACATCATCTTGAAAATCCACATCCTGTGTTCTGACAGTTTCCTCCTGCATTTCATCTTTCATCCTCTTTGAGGACTCATATCCCTATCTACCCACAAATGTTGACATTCTCATAGATTTA